TCGCGACCTCTCTCCAAATACTACCAACCCTAGCTTGATAACCAGATTTTTCCAAAAGTCTTATCAGAACCTTGTCTCTAACTGTTCGATCGCTGGGATCTAGTCGTTCAATCTCTCTTAGGAAATGACTAGCATCAAAGGTCGGTATGTACTGCCAAGTCGTTTTTGTAAATCCACCTTCACATTCAGAATATACAAGAGCTCCGGGAACTGTTCGAGGAGGATTCTGAACCCATCTAGGAATAATAAGATCAACCGTTAATTTAAGTCCGCATCTCGAAATGCCAGTGATTGATTCAGATACACCTGGTATTAAAGATGGACCATCCTTAATATATTGAAGCAAATTTTCCCTACGGCTAACACAGTGTCTAACTTCTTCCAGCGCTTGTCGATCAACAACCCCACCAACTAAGTTCTTCACAATCCACTCACAACTATCCATTCTTTATAATTACCCATTTTGTATATATACACATACACTATATAATATTAACACTTATAGAAATGTCCCCCTCGTGGGCCCATCTCCAATTTAAAATTACGATTAAACTAAACTTTTAATCATCTTGATCCTTAACTTTAAACCATCTTGATCTTTGATTGTAATGCTATTGTAATAATAATTTAATACACTAATAATTGACTATAAATTCTTCTAAATTGTTCGCTTAAGTTACTAGACTAATCCACCCATAACCATACTTGACTTCGGAAGCAAAAACTTTTGTAACCTTTTTTTTTTAATTTTAATAGTTATAGGTTAATTGAACTAAGCCCAGGTTAACTCAGAGAAAGGGGGGGGTTATTACTGAATGCTTTCAAAGAGTCACAATGTCAGAAAGGATCCTCTTCGGGAAGGCGCCACCTTGTTTACTGCGGAACGTCCACCGGCCAACAAGGAAGTCCAATGGCAGTACAGGGTTGAGATTTAAGGGTTTACCCTCGAGGACCACTTAGCTTATCATTCAGACTCACTCATTTACTAAGCCTAGACAATTTAATGTGTTAATGTCGCTAATGGTTTTTTGCATGAGCGTGAGGAGTAAAATTAATTTGTAAGGGAGTGACTAAAGTTTGATTTTAAACACAGTAGGAATATTATTAATATAGTGAAAACACAACAATTACAATTTGAATTACAATAATTTAATAAGCAAATTAAGATTTAAGAGGATTACAACTCTCCAAAGCAAGATATTGACACAAAAGTTAACGATAGTCGAACAGATTTCATATCATAATTATGGGATAACAATAACTCAAAGCTCAATCAAATATGAGTTTAAAACATAGTTAAATATTGGTGGCCACCTTAACTTAAGTTGAATAACCCTGTCTAACTTATAAATAAATTAAGACAAATAGCAATGAACAGTAAAAGAAATACAAGTTAGATACCGGTAATAGTTATGAGATCAATTTGTCCAAAAAAAAAAAGAATTTAAAGTGAAGTTTAGGATAACTTAATTGGTCTACTAAGCGGTAAGGCGTATCAGGTCCTTTCACAACACTGTATTTGGCGAGACAAACAGGATTCCAGTGCGGTTCAACTAGAAGGGCTAGAAGATAGGCAGGCCTAGTCTTGTATAGGTGACCAGGTCTCATCCAGCAGACAAGGACATCTCACGAGCCAGCATGCCCCGCACATATCCCTCGAGGGTGATTCATTTTAAGTAAATTTAGTTGAATTTAGATGACATCTCATTCTTGATTAACAAAAAAAATCAACTTCTAATTTTTTTGTCTTCGTCACAAAATCATGGCTAGAGGAGAAGAGGGAGGGAGCGTCGGTTTCAGTCCACAAATCCATCGAGTTTCATTATTGAGTCCAACCACCAATCAGAGGTCTACAACTTTATTGATTGAGTGAAGATGGGATGTAGCAACCGTTGGAGCGAAGAGTATGAAGTGGTAGAGGCGTACTATATAAAATATTTTACAGTGACGAAATTAAATTCAGAATGCGGTCAGGCAGTCGATGCGCGCTTAAAGACTGAGATGAAATATTTAGCGGGTGAACTAATATAAATTATGGTATGATCTAAAGTGATTATTATTTCCAGAAAGCCTGTTACATCTATAATCTTATAATTCTCCATGTCTATGATCCTTGCGAAGGTCCATCCCGAGTCCATCCTTTCGCACGCCTCCTTTTCGTCCACCATCTTTTGAAACAAATTACTGCACAGTTCGTCTATGTCGGTGGACCGGAGAACGGCGACATTCTTGGTCTTAAAGGCGCGTTGACACGTTTGGTCGTGAACGTTCGTGAATTCGCAATCTAACCACAGGTTGGTCTTGACGGCTGTCACGTGTTCCAATATGCGGTGCATAAGCTTTACAAGATCCTCAAACAATTGAGTCAGAAACTCCGGGATAGTAAGCCGAGAGGGTGCTTCGTCGCGTAATCTGTATGTTTTTAAACGTCCGCGAAACGCCGTCTCGACTTCTTCAAAATTCTCGGGTGCAATATTCCCCGGAATGTCTGACGGTTCGTCACTACCACTACCACTAGGGCTGTAGCTACTACCTTGGCTGCCTAGGCCTCCATATTGATTGGATGGTCCCGCAGCTGGTGGAGGCGGTGTCGGTGGTGGCGGCGGGGGTGGTGGAGGAGAATTCTCGGTGCCCCATTTTGTCGATCTCTTCGACCTGCAGTGAAACCGAAAATATCTGTTCATGCTGTACTCAGTTTTGAACTGGTGGCCGCACTCAGGGCACCGAAATCTCTTGAAGGATCTCATTGCCGGACAGTTGGCCTCCATATGTCTCCTAAGACAAAATCTTCTGGCAAAGGCTCAACCACAGTCCGGACAAACGAATCGCGTCGCTGGGGGGGGGGGGTGATGGCTGTGGGGGTGTCGGTGTCTGTTGCTGCTGCTGCTGCTGCCATGGATGCCAGAGTTGATTGTAACGCTCTGAAATTCAGCAACGCCTACATACAGACTAGCGGACTGATCACCCGCTAAATATTTCATCTCAGTCTTTAAGCGCGCATCGACTGCCTGACCGCATTCTGAATTTCATTTCGTCACTGTAAAATATTTTATATAGTACGCCTCTACCACTTCATACTCTTCGCTCCAACGGTTGCTACATCCCATCTTCACTCAATCGATAAAGTTGTAGACCTCTGATTGGTGGTTGGACTCAATAATGAAACTCGATGGATTTGTGGACTGAAACCGACGCTTCCTCCCTCTGACTCAAATCCAATACTGGCAATACTTGATATATCGAAGTTTAAATCTCTTTCTATCATATCATCACTGCCATAGTAGGCCAAGAACATATCATCACCTTGAACTCTCAACGACTGGAGAGTTGAGACGGAAGGGTTCGGTCTAGAAATCATCCTTTCACAAATCGAACCAATAATGCCTCCTATTAATCTAACCTTGTGATGAACAGTAGTATACGCTAACCCAGAAGGAAAAGTTGGATCCTTGGTCGTAACGTAAGGAACCACATATCCCTTCACCCTTGTTGACTGTGGCTGAAAGTGCATCATCACATCGCTCATTACCATCTCGAATGGCGAAGCCGTTCTCCTCTCTCGGCCACCATCGCAATTTATGACTTCCACCTCGGCCGTCGAATAGCATAAATATGTGTCCTTAAAATATTGACCGACCATTTGAGAAGCGAAGTCGAGGAAGAATGTCTGTGACACCATCTGTACACTGGCGTCAAATCCTGTCACATCAAGTCCATTCAGAACCACGTTATCCTCACTACTCCAAAATAACAATAAACTGATATCCCCTTAATGACCCTGTTGTTTCCCAGAAGAAGCATGGCCTAGCACCTTTTGGAAAAGTTCATAAACTCTCAAAGCTGGCAAAGAGCCTAATAGTCTCTCGTTGTTCACGCCGGCTACAGCTCTTTGCCTACGACTAATCTGCTCACGTTTTACCGCTTTAATGGGAGCTTGAAGGCCTCTCAAAAATCTGGTACGACTATTAAGGTCTTCCTGTTGAATAGTATAAGCACCTATTCGCTTTTTAAAGAGCTGGTTAACTTTAGGACTATATTCAGGTCGATTGTAGGTGTCTACCTGTTGCCTACCAGCCGAGGAAGTCGTCAAAAAAGGAAGAATTTCTTCGGTCATATTTAAGCCACGTAACTCTGAGACCCATTTAGGGACAGCCCTCTTCAAATACTTCCAAGTTGGCACAAATTCGGCGACGCTCTCTAAATCGTAATGAAGGACTTGCCCGGTCTCCAAAGTTAACAGTGGTGCTAAAGTCCCTAATACTCCCTCGGGCGTCTTTGGTAGTACAGCTGCATCTATCGTCAGCTCTGAAAGAGAAATATAATACGTCCCGTCGTTCGAAATTATTCGGCTTGTCTGATATCCATCCTTGATTCTCTCCAAATTCTTCAACTGTATCATATTGTCTATTAAAACGTTCAGCGGATGACTGAGTCTCTCTCTCCTCTTGGATTGAGCCTCCGGAAGGGTCTTCGTCACTACCCTTGGCTCCTTCATCTTTTTCTCTTTGATCCCCTTCAGAACACCTCCAATTTTCCAGTCTGGTATTATCTCTATACCAAGAAGATTGAGAGCTTCTGGAAGCCAATTTCGACATGCCTTCTGGGTGAAAAGTTTCTTGTCTTGGAAGGTCTCCTTGCCGCATTCCATCCAATGAAGGATACAGTAAGCGATATCTATTTCGGCGATTGCGTCGGTTAAGACTAGAGTCGCTAGATTGCACGCTCCGAGAAGCAAGAGTGGGAGAATTGACAAGCTCGATCCCTCTCTCGTCCAGGTTATCACATCGTTTTGCTCGAAAAACGGTGGAACAGTAACTCCCCATAGCAAACCTCTTATATAGCGCAGTAACAAATGATCCCTCCCCTTTACAGCGGAAATTGCAAGCACAGCTGTCGCGACCTCTCTCCAAATACTACCAACCCTAGCTTGATAACCAGATTTTTCCAAAAGTCTTATCAGAACCTTGTCTCTAACTGTTCGATCGCTGGGATCTAGTCGTTCAATCTCTTCGGCTGCCACCGCCTCTGTATTGATTGGATGGTCCCGCAGTTGGTGGAGGCGGTGTCGGTGGTGGCGGCGGGGGTGGTGGAGGAGAATTCTCGGTGCCCCATTTTGTCGCCCTCTTCGACCTGCAGTGAAACCGCAAATGTCTGTTCATGCTGTACTCAGTTTTGAACTGGCGGCCGCACTCAGGGCACCGAAATCTCTTGAAGGATCTCATTGCCGGACAGTTGGCCTCCATATGTCTCCTAAGACAAAATCTTCTGGCAAAGGCTCGACCACAGTCCGGACAAACGAATCGCGTCGCTGGGGGGGGGGGGGGTGGTGATGGCTGTGGGGGTGTCGGTGTCTTTTGCTGCTGCTGCTGCCACGGATGCCAGAGTTGACGCGGCTGTGGCGGCGGCGGCGGCTGTTGCTGCTGATGTGACATTTTAATTTATTATTCAATTATGTTATTAATTTATTTTTTTCTTTTTTTTACTTTAAGTTAATCAAGTTTAATTTTTTTTATTTATTTATGTTTAAGATAATTAAGACTTTTTCACAAATAGGATATATATATTTTAAGTAAAAATAATAATTACCGATAATAGAATGGTCGGGTGACGAGTTGTGGTCTACATTGTCGTCGTCGACGTCGTTGACACTGTCTCCTTTGGAATTATTGTCAACTGTGGCAGCGACAGGAGAGGGTGACAAAATTCCCGACAATGGACCAGCCGTTATGTCTGCCTCCTCCTCCTCCTGCATACTAGCAGAACGGCTCTCTGAAATCAAATGATCAGTTTCTTCAGTCGATTGTTAATTTATAGCAGTTAATTGTAAAGAACAATCGTTATTGAAATAAATCCAATCATAAAGATATTTTTTTAATTGAAAGGAATCGAATGAATTTATTAATAAATAATTTATCTATTTATTTTGGAAGAAAATTTAAATAAATATATTTTTTTTGTAGATAATAAACTGAGTAGAAAAGAATATTTTATAAATTGATTTATAAATAAAATTCATGTTATAAACTGAATAACAAAGAATCTTGAATTGAAACATTAATCTATTAACTAAATTTATCTATTATTTTTTTATTTAATTTATTTTTAAATCATATCCTCATTACCTCCCCGAACATTATCGAGGAGCATCTGACGAGCCCCGTTGATGTCTTCGTCCTCGCTGAGACCGGCCCATTCGTCCAGGGTCGACTTGACGCTGACGAGGTGGGTCACCCGAAGATGATCCCGAAGTTCACGCCGGCTCCCGAACGGTCCATGCAGCACCGACATGTGGCTGTCTCAGCTTCTATAGTAAACAATAACGATCCCCAGAATAGTTAATGTCGTATATTTTGAAAGAATATTTAAATAAATATTTTCTTTTGACCTATTTGCGATGAGTTTTCTTTGTTAAAATAAATTAATTCAATTATGAGCCATTTATAAACCATCTTCTCCTCCTTCAGATGTAAAAGAATAATTCTATCCTGTCATCGTAAAAAAAAAGAAATTGGTCATTAAAACGAATGAATGGATACGATTAACTTTATTTCATTTATTTATTTTTTTATCTTATTAATATACAAACCTTCAGGTTCTAGCTGACTATCGGTAAGCATAGGCACGTCGAGCAGCTCCTCGATCGTCCCCGATGCATTGTCGTCATCGTCGTCAATGAAAATGACGTCATCATCACTCTCCGGCGACTCAAACCGTTGAGGGTGAGTCTGCGGCGGAGTTGGTAACGGACCACAGTTCGACGCGTGAGTCACCGCATAGTGCTGTCGAACATGATCACGACAAGAAAACGTCCTGTCACAACATTCACACACGTATCCACCGGTCTGTAGGTGGACCGTGTGATAATGGTGCAGGGCGTGTTCATGACACGAGAATGGTCGATCGCACACGGGAAACACGTTCGGACCGATGTACGTCGCCGGCGGTGGTGATTGTACGTCTCTGTTCATCTACAGCAAGACACGCAACAGAAATAATAATTAATTATTCATAAAAAAATTAAATAATATCTTCGATTATGCCAGTGTAAAAAGAAAAAAGAAATTAATACCGTATGCAGTGTATAGTAGCCACTCAGTTTGTTTTACACTATTTATTTATATGATTAAAACTGTTGCAATAGGAAATGTCTACTCACTGTTCTGTTAAGTGACAAAGAAGGAAAAATGAACTTTTTGCTGCCAGAAACGAGAAAATGAAATGTGTTTTTCATCCCGCGCGTGCTTTGCATGGCACATGGGATTATGTAATTAATTTAAGAATTGCATGAATAAAATTGAATTGAATTGAAAACATTTTAACTTATTTTTAATGTATATGTGTTAAAAATATTGTTCAAAGAAACATAGGAACGTTTAATGTGATTCGATGATTTTGCAATATGATAACGTCTCGTATTACGTACAGGATTACTTCTGTAAATAATATATATTTATCTTTAAAATAAAATGAATTAACAATATTAAAATATTATTCAAAATAGACTCACAGAAAATTAACATTGACTTTGACTAGACGTTTACGCAATATGATAAAGACATGTATAATAATTACAACTGATTTTAATGGATTACAATTTGTTTAAAGTACAATAATATAAAAATATTTTTTTTAAATGAAAATTAATAGACTCTTAAAAAATAAACACTGCCTTTGACTCGATGATTACACAATATTCCAAAGGCCGTTATTATAATTGTTAAATCCCCTAAAATGTGTAGTAATACTATTATACACTTATTATGTATTGATATTAACTCTAGTACTTACGATTTAATCAAAACAAACACTTGGACAACACTGTTCACTGTTTTTCCGTTGAGCGTGGTAGCTAAGCAACTCACAACTACACTCAGCGAACTCCAAACCCTAACTGAAGCTCCTGTGGCAAAAGGCAGAGACACGACGCACGGAGGGTGGAATCTTCCACGAAGATCCAGTGGTAAACAACACTTGTTCCTTTGTCGGCGTCAATCGACGGAACGTCCTAGAAGGTTTCCTTTGTTAGTGAACTAAACAAAGCTTTTTAGATACTTGTCAAGATTCGCTCACCTTCGTCAAATGTCCAATGGTCTTACTAAAAGCTTTTAGAAACTCAAATAATGGATCCGTCAATCACTCGTTAAGTGGATTTCTTTGTCTGTGCCAATAGGCAGAGACGACGCACGGAGAGCGTCTCAAACGTTTGAGACGAGCGGCAGCCGCGTACTTGGGATGTTGCGTACCACCGGCAGACACTAAGTCACCCAAGAATCCGACTCCCGAACGTAACGCCTCCTTGCCGACGGTGGTCACGCCGGACTTCAGTAACGGTGCCACAGAACGTACGAGTCCGGTGAGGAAACTGCCGATACCGTGTCCACGCTGGAATGCCGCACCTCTGTACACGGACGACACACCATGTCGTATACTTGGTGCGGGTAAGGTTTTAGACTTGGTTTGAGCGATTTTCATCCTTGGAAGGTTTTTTGAAGATTTCTTGCCTTGTGCGGATAAGGTTTTAGACTTGGTTGAGCGATTTTCATCCTTGGAAGGTTTTTTTGAAGATTTCTTGCCTTGTGCGGATAAGGTTTTAGACTTGGTTGAGCGATTTTCATCCTTGGAAGGTTTTTTTGAAGATTTCTTGCCTTGTGCGGATAAGGTTTTAGACTTGGTTGAGCGATTTTCATCCTTGGAAGGTTTTTTTGAAGATTTCTTGCCTTGTGCGGATAAGGTTTTAGACTTGGATGAGGGATTTTCATCCTTGGAAGGTTTCTTTGAAGATTTCTTGCCTTTAGAGGAGGATTTACCCCGAGCCGTGGACTAGGACTTTTGTTTCATCGAGGACGTGAAATTTCCGAGAGCGGTTCGAGTTCGTTGGTAAAAGACGTTTGAAGACTTTTCCGGACTGAATTTATTTCACACGCGTGGTGATTATATCACTGCGAGATATAGGCTTTACGTTTTGATGAAAATTTAATTTGGCCAACTAACACCGCGAACTGAATTGATTTGCACGACTCGACTTAAAAACTCACCTAATGGTCTGGGAGGGAAGGAGACACCGAGCCAGCTCTGGTTGGAGTTTTCCCCCATCACTTCGTAGGGCATAGGGGATTGTGGGTACGTCGTCTATTGTCTAAATCAGTTGAATAGGTTTTCGCGGTTTCTCTTATTTGATGTTTGTTACATCAAATTCAGTACAAAATGCCCCCCAGCAGAAAAAAATGGTCCGCACGGCCGAAGGACAGATCGACGTATTCTTTCACCTCGGAACATTTTTCGCCCCCAGCCAGAAGATCACAACAAGAAACACATAAACACAATAAACAACAATTATAAATAACAATGGTGGTAACAAAGTGCTATGATATGATTTCCGTTTGGAGTGCGATGGTCTTTTTGCAGCAAAAATGGCCAATGTACAGTTGTCCTCATGGCAACACAAGGGCGTCCCGCGCACAGAACCACACTTTGATGTGTTACTAATGACCATCTGCAGAGTGCCATCATGAAGAGGGTTGAACAGCTGATCCATTGTTGTGGTCCTTAGGTCGAGCAATGTAGTGGCCGGGCGGGTCGGGGTGGCGCAACAGTTGGTCCCGTTTTGATAATCGGTGATAGTAATGCGATAAGAATACGGTAGCCTTTTTGTGATAGATGGACGATATCTATTTTGTTATTACTGTATTTCTGTTTGAAATATTTCAGCTTGGTTGTAGTAAATAAATGGTTGGAAAACTTATGGAATTGAAGAACTTTGATTCTGGGCTGATTATGATGTTATTGGATGAATATTGATGTTTCCGATTTGGTTTTGATGATGTGGATTTTTATTGTGGGTGGGGGGGGGGAGGGTTGAAATTAGAATGTCTCTATTGCTTGATTTGATGGCTTTAGTGATGGTTTAAAGGTTTGATTTGGGGGGACTTGTTTGAATATATCATTTATTGAAATAATGATGAAACGAGTTTTATGAAGGTATGCGTGTTAATGACAATTTTAAGTTTCTGGTTGTCCAGCCGCCTCGGGTCCCACTTGCGTCAATGTCAACGCTGGAGTCTTCTAAGGTCCAGATCTCCCACATTCTTTAATTTCTTTTGTAGAACCTGCGTGTGGGCACAATACATCGTTCCGGAACAATGCATTGTAATGTACTTGCACCACCCGAAAATGATTTAAATTACTGAGTTTATTTTATCTAAATGACTTAAGTCAAAGCCGTGAGGTCGATGCACATTTTGCACATCACTAGTAATAATATAGTATTTTTTTTTATTTTATTCTTCAATTTTAATGTACATTGTTTAAGGAAAGATGAAGACAGACATTTAATACACACTTAAATAGATATGTACTAATTCTAATGATATTACAATTTTTCGACTTTTTATTTCGGCGTCCAGATTTATGTAGCGTTGGATCAGAATTCTCATTGTCTCCAGTGTGTCAGTTTGGCAAAAAGTGCGAAGCTTCCATTCAAAGTTGACATCTGTAATTGCAGATATCAACTGTTCTTCGCTCATTGTTTACATTATTTCCTTTTCAAAACGGTTTTCGACATCGTAAACGGCTTCAAGGAGAGATGAGTTATCGATTGATTATATAATTCTGTCTTCAGCTTCCGCCAAACAGCAAGCTTCCAGCAACCGCTCATCATCAATGTAGTTTCCAAACAACATCGTCTTGCTTATTGGAGTGTTGGGCGAGGGATAACATCAAGATATAAATGCTTCCTTCTCCCCTCCCCCAAACTAAACTCCCTACTATTAAATCCCGCCCAATTTTATACAATTTGATCATTGGTCAGATCTTTCCCCACTATTAGATCATTGGTTGAATCATTCCCTTCTACCAAATCAACCATTTATCCCTCCCATTATTTAAATAACCTTTTATTTCATCACATAAATATCTGAATTAAAACCAAACACCAGTCTGGGCTTTACTTTCATGGTATATACTAAGGTGCTGTCACATTAGCGACAACTTCAAGATATATTAATGTAAGTACTTAATATTTTATATTTAACCTATATTATACAAGTTAAAGGATTTGTTTTTACGTTGTTACACGTACGTATTTACGTTTTTACGTCCATATTAAATACGAAGCTATTATTTATTTATTTCCAACGGACATCTCCATTTTACAGCTACATATCAAAACAGATAGCAGTTATGTTGTATTGGAGAATGTTATCTCATGTTCTATCTTAAAAGATGAATTGGTACTTACTACTGATATTGTTGGATTGTTCAGATTTCCCGTGTTTTGAATGATCATTGGT